CTATTACTGACAACAATAGAGTTGTATGTCCATAACATTTGTGTGGACTCCAATGTCCTGATATTACAATAGTACTCTACAGTGACATGGAAATATTACCATATTACTGACAACAATAGAGTTGTATGCCCATAACATTTGTGTGGACTCCAATGTCTTGATACTACAATATTTACTCTATTAGAAGCGCGTCTTCAATAGAAATGCATGCAAACCAGAAATCACCCTTATTTTATACTGAATCATTATTAAAATATTATGTATTTTAAGCATAGAGTATCTCTGTATTTTATGTAAGTGCATGAGATATTAATAGAGCATATATGGTGTTTTATAAATTTACTATAAATCACAATGTACCTGAATAACTAATTCATTTAACACAAGTGAGGTAGTTTTTCAGTCTAACATTTGATCTTCACAGGAACTGAAAAATATTTATCTTTACCTGGTTTTGAAGAATTCTGATTGCGCGATATTTGCTATCTAATTGTCGTTGGCAAGCTTCAAGTTCATTTTTCAACAGCTCAACATCCTACGAAGAATATCAAGACAAAATTATTAAATATGAAATGTTCATGTTTCCATTGTTTCAACACTTAAAATATATTCAACATTCATTTTTAATAATCCAAGAATACAGTACTATAAATGCATTAATTATTCACTGGGTTTTAATTTTGCTATTTTCACAGATAAGTAAAAATCCGCTAAATTAAATTCATGTGTGCATGTGAAATAACAATACAACTCACTGTTTTTCTGCCAAATTTGTAAAATTAAAACCCAATGAGAATAATCAAAACATCAAAGCACAGAGGTCAATCCATAAGTTCCTGTTTTCAGACTGCATCAGAATGGGGACTAATAAAGAGGTATTTCCTATTACCGGTAAGTGTCCACATACATGTACTAGAATTTCATGAAATACCAAAAGATGAGTAATCGCTAGAGTACATATTCATTACCCAGTAAAATGTATTTAGAATCACAGCTTGATCTCTAAACATCGTAAATAACACAATTCCAGGATGTGAGCAGCTTGGTTCGGATTAGCATGCTAATTGCTCTGGCCATCTTGCCCCTACTTGTAGTATTGGTTCCCCTTTAAGAAAATATGCAAATTATTATGTCTTGTCTTTGTATCTTTTTTAAACAAAATAGGTGAAAAAATGTCAAAGAAAAGGGTAAAATGGGTGCCATTTGAAATTACAAAACAAAGTGATATGCATCAATCCCACCATGAGTGTGTCAATACAGATAAAATAAGGTTCTTGGCCAGTGAGTCAAAGATTAATTGATTGACAAAATTAATTAAACAAAAGAAAAAAGGAGGCGAATCGTCAAAAATAGTACTGTAGTTTATGATGCACGAGGATGTAAATCTTGCTATTTTGTGTACAACATTATTATGCTATTTCGAGGGCAAAAAAAAAAAAAAAAAAAAAATTTGCCTGAAATTGCAGTTTTACTGTATTGTATCTGTACATGATATTAATACAAATTTTCATCTCAGATTTGCATAATGAATGCTGAGGTCAAGGGGTCAAACATAAATACAAAAACAAAAAAGATTGCAGTGTTCAGTGCTTTCAAGTTACAGAGTTAAGCATATTACTTAAGTTTGATGATTCACGCCTACTACAAGTTACATAACAGTAAAAAATCAATTAATAAACAAATAAGATTAAAATTTAATATAATTTTGGGATAAATGGTGTGGCACCTCAGGCTGAACAGAGCAAAAAAAAAGACAAGGTAAAAATTCTAATATTCTAATAATATTAAAACCAAATCTCGGGGAAATGAGCATAACCTTGCATCCTAACACATGAAAAATGCGGATTGATAGACCTTCAGTGATCACTGCCGCCATTTTGAAAAGTGAAACTTCAGATATTTGTACGCATTTGATGACCTGATACGTAAATACAAATTTTTCATTGGTCATTCGTTTCATCCTGTATTATATTCCATGCTTAAGATGCTAGATTCTTCTGTAAAATAAGATTTCTATTTTGATGCAATAAAACATGCATTCACGGCAGGTGGAAATTCAGGGAAATTTGTTTGAAATATTACTAGATTCTTTTTGCAATCAGTTTTCAATTTCACCAGCCAACGCCACTTAGTAAGCAGCGATCATATATTAGTGATCGCGTATTGGGACACTGACTACACTTAAATGTGCAGTATAATGCCACCAGAAGACTAATTGTTCGATAATATTTTCACCTGGAAAATAAAATAACTTGACAGGCATTTTACTTGATATTCAATTGATATATTAATTTCCAGACAACAAAATAAAGATTTTCATTAGCATACTGGTAATTCACACACTTTTAAAAGCACTAGTTGGACAACTACAAGTTTTTATGGTATTCAGTGCATGATGGCACTTGCATGGCTTCCCCCTTTGATGATAAAGATGATTTATTATTAAATTTAAATTGTTTTTTACAAATGCCTATTTCAGGGCATCATAAACCTAAAACATAAACGTATAGGTGGTCATTTCACAGGCACTTTAATGTCAAAGGTAAAACTCACATCTTGTGCTTTTATTAATTTCTTTTTTATCAAATGTTGATCAGACTTTGCAACCTTTCGACTGTCATAATGTGAATCAGCATCTAAAAGAGAAAAAAAACAGTAAAATTAACTTGGTAGTCAAAAATGGTTGCAGTCAGAGATTACGTTTTCTGATCTACATGTAGGCTGTGTTGTAGAGAGTTGATGACAGACATACATGTACTCACAATCTAAATTTCATTTCCACAAAGCTAAACAGATCCCAAACAAGAGTAAATAAAAGTCTTTCAGAGTGGGAATTGTCATGATGATCACACTGAGCCAGAATTGAAAGAACTGCATGGACATAATAAATACATTTACAGATTGTGACACTGTAAAACAGGAACTGTGATCTACCATTAGTACATTGTATTGTTCTTTTCACCTAATTCAGCTCCGGTACCCTGTATTTTAAGCAATAATACAGTGTATATGTAGCTAATTATAGAAAGTGGATCTTTCTATAATTGAAACTATTGGCAATTTTCAGCTAAACTGTAGTATGTGCAAGTGTTTTTAAGAGAATTTGAGAAGCACAGAAAAAAGCGTCATGGCAACTGGTAATTGATTGATTCAATGCACATGAATCATATTTTATATTTTACTACCCTTATACAAATTATTAAAAAACAGCATTTATGCTTTAGAACAGGGTTTCCAAGTAAATACAAATGATTCTCAATTGATTGATTTTAACCTAGTACATGTAAATGATTTCTGTCACCACCATATTAACTAAACAGCAACATTGCTAGCTAAGTTGCTGACTGGTTTGCAATGCGCATCCTGTTAAAAGACAATGTCACACTATTAGTGGAGAACTTGGACATGTTTAACATAAATAGAAGCTCACGACGCAATTGCCTTTCGATTTATTCCATTCAATTGTATAAATTGCTATATAACAAAAGGCAAAGTTAACAAAAATGAACGTATTGACACAGTCCGAAATGTCAAGAAATGCTGATGCAACTGGTGCGTGTCATAACACTCCTAAATGCACACATTTAGTCAAAAGACACACTCATGTAAAAATGGTAACCATTTCTAATTACGTAACGACCTCGTGAATCGCACTGCAATGTTTTGGTGTTTGAAACAATATGGCGGTGCCGGTAATCACTACAACACTCCTACCATATGGTTTGCTGAGATGTATTGAGTGTAAGCTTACCTTTAAAACCTAACTTAGGAAAAATTAAATTGATAAGTATGCAAATTAGCTAATTATATAATAGCAGTAATGTAAATAGTTTAGTATATTTTAGCAAAGGGCCATGCATTTGGCACACTCAACATACCATACAGGCAATGGATTTCTATTTTGAGGTTCAGTTCTCACTTAATTCTTTTTCTAGGCAGAGGCGGTCTATACTTATTACAAATATTGACCTAAGAGTCTAAGGCAGACAACAGTAAAATAGGTTGGGTTATCTAAATGACATCATTTCTTTTCCCTACCCAATTGATGCTGAGTGATGCAGTTATTTCTCATGAACATCAAAAGTAGACAGATTAGTAACCTAGGCAACTTCTACCCGCATGTTACTAGCATTGATGTAAGCAACATATGTACATAAGACAGAAATATCAGAAATCAGTTTTCATTATAGTACACAAATTTACTGCTTTTCAATTTCCTGTCTAGTGACACTTAGTGTAACTATAATCACACTGGTAGTGGGCTTTTATTTCCTCACAGCTGTTGCAAAAAAATCCAATAAAATTATTTTTTCTCCTTGTCTCCTTTACACTACACATAATTGTGCGAAATAAAAATAGAATAGAAATTTGGGTTAAATATTAATACATCTATTGATATCAATTTTCACATCAATGAAACTTCATTTGGTTTAATATACTGTACCAATTTATGTCCATGAATATTTTGCTTTAGATACAGAGTGGACAGAGTGCATATTTATGATTACATCAGATTTTAATATCGGATGTAGCCCGGTAGTTATTAAGTAAAAATCTTCTTTGTATTACCCGGTAACTATTACTTTTGCATTTTACCGGTGTTGCTTTTTGGTGGTGGCCAAACACAAATAAAATATCTGCTAAAACATTATGTAAATAATAAAAGGTTGACCATTAGAAACTCTAGGTGGTGGATTTCGAAAAAAAAAATTCTACAGGAAAAATTACAGATCGAAAAAAACAATCAAAGTTTATCATCAGTAGGCCACAATTCTGTTTATCATGTAATGTTACATTGTGACAAGTCACATTACTTAATAGCGCAAACTCAACACAAATGTATTTACATACAATTGTATATATGTGTGTGTTCCCTAGCTGTTAGCTCTCATACATTTAGGCCAGGAATAACTAGAAAATTGTCAAAGAGTCTTCTGAGAAAATTCACTGCAAGTGATAATCAGCAAAAACAAGTCATTGTCAATGAAATACTCCCGGTCATGTTTTAAGTGACTTTGTCAAACAATGAAAAGCATAGTCAGATTATGTTTAAATATTGGGATAGTATTTAGCATATTAACTACAAATGTGAATGAAACAGGTATGAAGACCATGTTTGAATGAAATTGGTCAAGGAATGCCCCAGAAACTGTTAATGACATGTCCAAATGTTGATTTTGGGACAATTAATGGCCGTCAGTTGAAGGACAACAAAATTTAATAACCAAAGCGATATTTTGCCTTTGTACTAAATTTAATCTAAAGCTGTACAATCATCTCTGTAAAATGAGCAGAACACTTGTAAAAAACAAAAGGGCCACCAGTCCACCATTTTGAATCGAATTACAAACAAAAATGACGCCGTCAGTAACCCACCATGACTGATGTCAATGCCAAGTTAGAATTAAATTGGTCAAGGCATGTCCGAGAAACAGTTGATGACACGTCCAAATGTTAATTTTTGGGACAAAAATGGCCACCAGTCAGACAAAGGTCAACCAAATCAAAAATAAATTGATGTACACATGTCTCTCATTAGGACTTGTTTTTGTACCAGCTTTGAAGAAAATCTGTCCAAGCGTCTCTGAGAAATGACGACAGACGCACAGACGGAACCCAAAACATAAGTCCTTGTTTCAAACTCCATTCAACGGGGATTAAAAAACTGAACTACAGCGATATATTAGACAAGATGGCATATTCACTTTATATGTACAGTAAAATCTGATAGCAGAACCATGCACTCCAGTGCATGCCCACACTCCTGTTAAGAAAAATACAGGCGGCATAATAAACTCGTCATTTTTAAAATGAACAAATGTGGGAAATTTATCGTGAATGTTGTAATCAGCTCAAAAGCCCAACTGTCATCACATACTTAGACAAATTGATGTACACATCATTCAACAGCAGGATGTTAGCAGGAATTTAGCCAAATGGCGGCCATTTTCGTCAAAAACGAATAAAATCACAAAATTCAAACTTGTCATCCACCTTTTCTTGGACATGCCTTGACCAATTTCATTCAAACTTGGCATTGACCATCAAGAGGAGTTTTTTTTTATTTATATGACAATATACAGTAAAAATCAAATGACAGTGTGATTAAATTTGATGATATATAAATGTATTTGCATTACATTACCAAACAAATTGGGTATAGCCCTGAATCAGGACATTTTTATCCTAACAAAACATGCCAGACAAATGTTTTATTGATAGGTGAGCAGCAAACAAGAAATAGAGAATAAGATATTGATAAAAATGTTTTCCCATCATCGTTTTTCTTTAATCAGTCTGTGATAGAAATAGGATCCTGTCAATGACAACAAACCTTTACAAAAGCAAAACAATCTTCATTGCCTTTTTGTGTTGTAATCTCTCATTGAATTATTACTATCAGCAGGAACAATTGTATAATAATAAGGTTATGATAGAAATTACACAAGTATGCATGATTCAGGCAGTAGTGGTCTCTGTGAATCTATTAGTTTTGATGATTTGTATCATTTGCATTAAAAATGAAAAAAAAAAAATTTCATTTTCATGTATTATTTGCACTTCAGGCTTTTGTTAACCAAGAATGCCTTGAGTAGGAATATGTTATTGGAGTAGACTATTCTGTTCATATATATTTAATTGCCTGTTTATGTATGAAGCAATGAGTTTGATGGAGAAATCAATTGAACTTTTGTCACTCCATACATCACAGCCATAAACAATGATTGATTGAAAGAGTTTGTCAAAGAGTGACAATTGTAGCTGAATTTTGTTATTTGAGCAGTTTTATTTTACTTTGAAGGATTTTCCTTCAGAAGTTTATATATGTTTTATTAAAAATCATGATTTTAGTTGTTTTTCAGTATTTACTGTCAAATGCCATTTCGAGGTATATGCAGCCAGTTTGACAGGCAAGTTTGTAGACCTATGTTTATTTTGATAAAATAAAATCACAATTGCCTACATCAAAAGTCAAATAGATTAGGACAAACCTTGTTTGGGAAAAATCAGTGGATAGACCTACATTTGTTTTAACTTTATATTTAACATTGCATTACATGTTCTTAAAAATATTGACCATTTTTTTTCTGTGATATTGTAGTCAGCATATTAAATGTTAATTGATATATGTATAGTTGGTCAGGATATTTTAGTGAAAAGTCTAAGATTTCTTCCTGACTTGTAAAATAATCTCATGTTCCAAGAATTGGTCATCAAAATACTGTAAAAGCATTCATTTTCCCTGCTATAAAATTTCACTATATCAATGTTTTGAGCATATTGATAGATTTTATACCCATGAAGTTGCCAGTTATATAAAGCACTCTATTGTAATACAATATGCTCACGTTGATTTAATGCTATGAACTTCAGTTGAAATTCCATAATTTTTTGGAAATAGCAAAATTAAAAGCAAGTAAAAAATGAACATGATTACAGTAATAATATGTTGAATATATAATTTAAAATTACCTAGCTCTTCCTTCATAAGAGGGGAGATACTCCCCTTTGTGTTAATAATTTCTTGTATATCATGTTTATATAATTTTTTCTGCTGTCGAATGGATGTACCCAGTGACACTCCATCCACTGTAGGGAACTCCTCATCATCACATTCCTCTTCACATTGCACTTGCTCTGTCTCTTTGCTCTTTGAGTTAGATCTCCGCCTGGATGGACCCTTCAAACTAAACATCGAAACAGATTTCGTTGTTGGTGACCATAGTGAATCGTTCTTTAAAACTCCTGATTTCGGGGAAATTTCATGGACCGTTTCGAGTTCCCTGTCTACTTGAATGCCACCAGGTTTCAGTCCGAGTCCAAGGCCGAGATCCCCCTTTGCGTTATACGAGTCATCGGGATCTCGGACACTGTTTGTGATAACGTTACTGTTAATGTTTTCATCCTCACCATGTCCTGGTAATGGCAATGAAAATGCCCGCCGAAAAGCTCCCATTAGAAATATTATCTGACTAAAATGACAAGTCCATCAATCCTATACGTCACACAAATTCCGACACATTTACGATTAGAATATGTTACAATATAATAATGTTTCTCTGAGATATGCCGTCTGTGATCAGTACCAGCTGTGCAATCGTTTCACCAAATATCACTTGCCGCGCAACACCTACGAGTTGGCAATGTACTGCCGCGAAATTGCCACACTTAGTTCATGAATTACTGGAACATTTACTTCTCACACTGTATGTTGACGATGATTGATTTAGACACCTTTTCTTTACCCCATCAAATGGATAACATACACTATAGATGCCCGCAACAATAAATATTATCAAAAACATTATATATAGTTGGCGGATTGATACATACTAAAAAAACATAAATTACTTCCGGGTCATATTTATTTTGAACGGTGAGGTGAATGCGAAATTCGTAATCAAAATTTGTTTAGAATTTTATATATTTTTTGTATTTTTACAACACAAGCGGCTCACTTTCTGACACAAAATATCTGTATAATATACGATACAGTGTAATGTGTATTTCGGAAAATAATATTGATCAATAATATTCAAATTATCACTCGTATGCAGAGCCTACAAGTTTAGTGATGTACATATTTAGTTCCGGGCAACACATGTGGTTCTTTGGGCTTCAGAAGGTCTTTCCTTGGGATTTCTTTCGAAAATGACGTCACGTTCGATGCCCAGCGCTTTTCTGAAAAGTATCCTACAAAACGGTATTGGTAGATATGTATGTCAGCTACAGCGAATAACATTTCTGTTTTCAAAATCGTCGGGTCTATCACGTGGAGTAAGGTTTGTTGTGACATTTGTTTTTCATAGATTTGTCACCAGTGGTTTCGGGTAGCTGTTGAATCATAGCCCCCTGAGGGCCGTTTTTGGTCGTCGGTATCTATATTCGACTTACAACACAAAATTTGAAAATAAGACGTCCAAGTAATAAAGAAAATGGTAAAACAGTTGTCAGTCGCAAGATAGAGCTACGGATCCGCAGCTAGGTTTCGGGGTACTAGTAACCATTTGAAATTCTAGGGGCAGTGGAAATGTACTAAGTGCGTTATTTTTGTCTCATTTTACCACGACTTTATTTATCTCATGAACTTCAATACAGTTGGACACTTTTTTTCTCTTCAATTAACTTTCAAAATCTTTCCCCGATTTTAAATTCACTCCCAAGTAGTAACATCTGAAAAATACCTTTTTCACGTCCATAGTTACTGAATGACATTGACAAAACAATATTTATATAGTTATTCATTAACACTAATCCCTGCTAGAGATACAATTGCTTCTTAATATTTTTTTATGTAATGTAACATTTATATTACGTAACAGTCATTTACATGTAAACATCCCAATTATAACTTTGAAAATTTCATTTAAAATTAGAGCCATCTATGACGAGCTGCTATATTAATTTTAACCAAGGATTTATAAGATAAGAGTATGCAATGTTCGTTGAAAAGCATTCATGAATTGAAGAATTCTCACAAAATGTAATGTGGTCAAAAAATTGCAAAAAAAAACTTGCATTTCTTAAAATGCATACATTTTTTGAATGCACCGATAATCTCACTCATTTCTATTCAGGCAATCAACATTCTCGAGCACCTACTGCATTCTGTGGTGCTATTGGTTAGAACTATTTCGATGAATGCACCCAAATTGCGATCACTTTGAAATGTTTGCAAATCATGAGAGTTCACTTCTCGTGAGATCGCACCATACAGGATTATGAATGTATGCATACGCTATATACATTTTATGCATCTTTGTTGTAACTTATTGCCATATTTATTTGTAATTCTTTACATTTTGTCTTGTTCTTTATAGAGACTTCATAGAAAATGACTTGGTTGACTTTGCTAGGAAGAACCCTGGAGTAGTTGTTTATGTGAAACCTGATCCAAATCATAAAAGTCCACTTGTGGTTGCCGAATATCGTAAGTGAACACTGGTGACTTTTTACTATCAATTGAAATCCACTGTATTCAAAGAGATAAAATACAAAAAATATCAGCTCCAGAACAATCTCTCATTGACTATTTCAACTTACCTGACCCAAAATAATTTCTTAAGATTTTATAAACAAAATTGTAGACCTGTAACCCATAGCAAATTTTGTCTATTTAATCCATAATTAAGAGAAATTATTGAAATATGCATACAAAATACTGACAGGAAAATATATGGCATTCAGATCTGGCAAGCGTTAATGTTTAGAGCTCCAGAATTCCCCTCTCTTAGATGTTATAGGACAAATTTTGTTTCAATTTAATTTTGGTTTCAATGAGTTGACTGACTGTCCCCAATAGCAATATTTCAACATGACACCAAATTTTTTTCAGATTAACAATTACATAACACATGGTTGGTTACTGATGTATTATATTGTATTAATAATCATGTAATCAAATCTTCCCTATTTTTTTTTCTGTGTACAGTAAATGGTAACAAAAAAGATATTGAATGCCAGTCAATGAACAGAGAGCAAGTACAGAAAGAGGTTGAGTTAGCGAGAACACAGTCAGGTTTGGATGTAGTAAGACTGAGAAAATGGATGCATACAGACAACCCTACGATACAGGGACTTTGGACTCCTTTCACTAATAAACCAACTTATTTGAATGTTGAAACTTTTCCATCAAAGAACCCTACATGGAAATATGCAGAAAGGAGACCTACACTTAAGTTAGATAACGAGATTTCTGCTGATAAGAAATTGTCATAACTGGACAGTTATGTAAATCAACCCTTTGTGACCTTGTGACTGGTAGGATACTGTCCAGTTGATGTATTGCAACTGTAAAGCATAGCATCGTCAAACCGATACTTGGTATGATTGTCAGTTGTACTCACTTTATCTATTCAAATGAGACCTGTATATTGGACACATACAAATTAAATTGTTTATACAAACTCACTGTGTAATCTATTTAAAGTGCCTGTGAAATGGCTGCTATTTTCACGCCTAAAATTATCCATTGATACATAAATATTATTATTTTGTATGTTTCTAAGCATGAATTATTTTTTTTAAGTGAAAAAATGTGTTTTAAACTCAATCTACGGCAACTTTATTTTTGTGTATTTTAAAACGAGGCTGCTCATTAGCTTCTTATTTGCATACAGAAATTCCCCTTGTGACGTCAGAAGGGGAAGTCGCATGGCAGCTTGCATTGGCAGTACGCGTAAATAAGGCAAATTTCTTCTGCATTTTTCTCGTCTTTGACTAAATTTTCACTTAGGTACTTGTTCGTCGAGGAGGAATGGACCATAATAAACACATAGTATCAATTTTTGTTGCATGGGTTTGAGTTAGATGCGAAATATGTTCGTTCTGGTGTAGCTGGTCATGGTAATCGTCAGCGGCGCACTGTACACTGTCGCTGGACAAAATAGAATTTGACGTCGGAATTATCTCGTTATTTAGCAGGTTACTAGGCACGTCACTACACTGTTTTATTTCATCGATCGTCTGAGTAAAATTTTCAAAATTAAAATAAAAGAGAACATATTTTGACATTCTAAACATTAGACTATAGTGATCACTATAAAATAATTTAAAAAACGACAAATCACAGTTACTAAATAAATGACAGCCGCGTGGAAATAAATTGAAATT